TATAAAAATGTACTATGTGAACACTACAAAAATCATAATATTTTTAATATTATTCTTTTATACTTAATATGCGTGTTATTTTTAATTACAATTATTAAATGCATCAAAACATTTTCCCATGTCAATTTGATTTCCAGGTCTTCCACGGATTTGCTGAAATTATGAATCATGCAAGTGGTTACTAACTTGGCAATCTTCTCCTTGAGTGCCGCCCAGTCCCACAGGTCTGTAGGCGTCTTATCCCACATATCATACTGCAGGATCTGTAAAATCATACCAGGAACAATTAGAGCTCTGTAAATCTAAACTGATATCCAGTTTCCTTACACAGGGATTGTGCAGGTTTAAAAAAAGACTTTAAGACCAATACAATTAAATTTAAGGCAAGAATTGATGGAACATGTCAATATGTTCTTTAAATAAAAATAGGGAGCACACAATTTAATTATATTAGCAACACTTAAAAGTTTGAAAAATACAACTTCCAACAGATCTTTTTAACTCATTTTGAGTTTATGATTAGAACGAGAACAAATATCTGCCAATATGCTCAAAAAGATACTCAATTGAATTTTTTTTCCCACAATCCACTGACCGATATTATTGTCTTAAGCATAAAATAATTTAATTTAGTTCAGTTTCTTAGAAAATAAGACTTATCCTTAAATCAGGATATGTTCACATAAAATGGCATGTTCAGACAAAATACTGAATACAAATTTTTTGCAGAGCATGCCAAACTTTAATGCCATGATGACTGTAATTTAAGACTTTCTGGCCTGATTAAAGACCTTTTTAAGGCCTTCATTTGTGGATGGGAATCAATACTTCAAGACCCACAGAAACTCTGCTTATATGTGACCCTGGAGTCTTAAGGGTCAATTTTTCGAAATTGAGATTTATACAATCTGAAAGCTGAATAAACAAGCTGCATTGATGTATATATACATCAATGCAATGTATATATACATTGTAACATTGATGTATGGTTTGTTAGGATAGGACAATATGTGGCCGAGATACAACTATTTGAATATCTGGAATCTGAGGGTGCAAAAAAATCAAAATATTGAGAAAATCACCTTTAAAGTTGTCCAAATGAAGTTCTTAGCAATGCATATTACTAATCAAAAATGAAGTTTTGATATATTTTCAGTAGGAAATTTACAAAATATCTTCATGGAACATGATCTTTACTTAATGTCCTAATGATTTTTGGCATAAAAGAAAAATCAATAATTTTGACCCATACAATGTATTTTTGGCTATTGCTACAAACATACCCCAGCGACTTAAGACTGGTTTTGTGGTCCAGGGTCACATATTATATAGGCTATATACATCATCCAACTTACGCCCTTGCTCACAGGAGACCCAGCATACGTTTCATACGGCCCAAATTCTGCAGCCAGCTCACAGCTGGACTCCAGGGCAGCGTAGTAGATGGTCTCAAAGATCTGTGTGTTGAGGTGTTGAGCCTCTGCACTCTCAAACGGAAAGCGCATGAGGATGAAGGCATCAGCCAGACCCTGAACGCCGATA